AAGAATCAATGACTTTGAGTTGTGGTGCTGGAGAAGAGTATTAAACATGCCATAGACTGTCAAGAGAACAAACACATCTGTTCTGCAGATCTGTCTCCTTGGAGACAAGGATTTTGAAGCTTCAGCTCACATACTTTGGGCACACTGCCAGGAGGGACCAGTCCTTGGAGAAGGACGTCATGCTTGGAAAGGTGGAGGGACAGCGCAGGAGAGGAAGACATGTAGAGGAGATGGAATGACACAATGACTGAAGGAATAGGGTCAAGTGTGTCAGAGACAGTGAGATTAGCTCTGGACAGGACAGGGTTCAGAGCTGCTGTAGGTAGGGTCACTATGAGTCGCAAGCAACTTAATGTGTGAACATCAACAAAGAGGTTACAGTGATAAAAGCCGTGATGGCACAATGATTAAGCACTTGGCTACCAACTAAAAGTCTAGTAGTTTGAACCTACCCAGTGGCTTCTTGGGAAAAAGTGCTGGTGATCTGCTTCCCTAAAGATTACAGCCAGTACGACTTCAAGGATCAATTCTCTTCTGTCACACGGAGTTGCTGTCAGTTTAAAATTGTCTTCACTGAACAACTATAATCAAACCCAAATGAACACTGACATAGCATCAGTTGCAACTTGTAACTGACCTTCCTTTGGGTTCCGAGGCTCTGAATCAAATGAGAAGAAATTGTCCGTCTTTCTACCTGAGAGTGGCCTGTAGATTTGAACCACTAGCAAGGCGGGGCCTTTTTGAGATAGCACAACTCTCTACAGAGTGCACCACCAGAACTTTCCTCACATCTATTATAGAATGTGAGAAGTCCTGTGACAGAAATAGACACGGAGACACTTGCTACCTACCCTTCAGTGAAGCAGGTATCATTATCTCATTTACATATGGGCAGCTGCATGTACAATCAGGTGAAGTTAGTTGGTAAAGTCCACAGCTATGAGTACTGAGTAGTCTGCCTGCCATTGAGCCCTCTGCCTCACGCTGCCATTCAGCAACAGGTAAATGTCCAGAGCCAGAACTGGGACTGGACATTACAACTGGTGACTGGCTGTCTTGAAGAGATGGCTGAAAGCAGTAGTGGGCTAGCGTAGGTGGAGTATGGTCCCCTAAGAAGTAAAAGCAGTTGACACTCACTGAGTGCACAGTATACTCCAGACTAAACCAGGAATCCACGATCTTATTTAATCCATTACCAATGCTACAAAGGAGGAACCTTGAGCCTCCATTTTACTGAGCCCCCTGGAAACTGAGGATTAGGGGGAGTTAAGTGACCGAGGCCACACACCTGCAAACACAGGGGCCTAGGCTCATACCCTGTTGCTGTGGTTGCTCGCTGTTGCTAGGTCAGCCCCTAACTCACAGCCACCCTGTACACAATGGGACAAAGTACCACCAGCTCTGTGCCAGTTCTGTGATCAGTTGTAGATCAGACCATTCACGGGGTTTCACGGGCTGATTTCTGCGAGGAGACTGCCAGGCCTTTCTTCCTCATCTCTCTCAGACTGGAAGTCCTGCTGGAACCTGTTTTAGAAACTGGCATACTTACTCTTTAGCACTTTAAAAACATCATTGATAGTCCACTTCCCCAGTGCAACACATCTTTTGATTTCTTAACCACTGCTACCACGGTTTTGGATTGTGGATCCAAGTGAAATTAAATCATTGGCAACTTCAATCCCTTGTTCTATAATTTCTGTTATACCAGCACCAGATAACCAAGATGGTTGCCATCAAGTTCATTACAACTCACGGCAGTCTCATATGTACAGAACAGAGCTGTGCCACTCAATTTTTCAAGGATGGACCTTTCAGATCAGTTTACCAATTGCTTCTTCTAAGTCACCTCAACATGTCACTTCTGCATGAGTTCTAACCCTGCTTTTCAGCTTGTTGCTGGGAGCTTAATTGTTTGCACTATCCCCAAACAAGATACTCTATCTTGGAGGAAGTGTAATCAGAGTGCTTCTTAAAGGCAAGAATGGTGAAACCTTGTCTCACATACTTTAGGCATGTTGTCAAGAGGGCCTGCTGTTGTTAGGTGCCGCCTAGTTGAGTGTGATTCATGGCAACCCTATAAACAACAAGTCTGAACTCCGTCCTAACCTGTCCCATCCTCATCACCTCTGACATGCGTGAGTCCATTGCTGCAGTCACTGTGTCAGTCCGTCTCATTGAAGAGGGGGGCTAGTCCTTGAAAAGACGGCAAGCTGGGAAAGGTGGCAGGTCAGAGAAGGAGAGGAAGACCCTCAACAAGATGGACTGACACAGTGACTGCAGCGATGAGTTTAAGAATACCAGAGGTGGTGAGGATGGTGTAGGATGGCAAGGTTCAGAACCACGGTTTACAAGGTCACTGTGAATTGTAGTCAACTCAGCAGGACTAAACAACAACAAGGATTCTGGTACTGTAGAAGAAGGAGGAGGAGAAGGAGGAGGAAGAGAGGAAAGGAAGAAGGAAGGAGGAGAAGGAGAAGATGGAGGAGAAGAGGAAGGAGGAAGAGAGGAAAGGAAGGAGGAAAAGGAGAAGATGGAGGAGAAGAGGAAGGAGGAAAAGAAGAAGAAGGAGGAGGGAGAGGAGGTGGAGGAGGGGAGGAGGAGAAGAAGGAGGAAGAGGAGAGGAAGGAGAAGAGGGGGAGGGGGAGGAGAGGGAGAAGAAAGAGGATGGGGAGGGAGAGTAGGAAGGGAGGAGGAGGAAGAGAGGAGTAGTAGGAGGAGAGGAGGAGGAGGAGGAGGAGAAGCAGAGGAGGAAGAGGAGGAGAAGAGGAAGAGGAGGAGAAGGGGAAGGAGAAGGAGGAGGAGAGCGAGAAGGAGGAGGAGGAGAAGAAGAAGAGACATTCACTGCCCCAAACTATTTATAAATTTATAAAAATGTTATTCCCGGGATTTTCATGCTGTTCTTGCAACCTCCTGTGCTCACTAAGCACAGGGAAATGGCAAAGAAGTAATTGCTGTCCTTAACAAATTACAAAGCAAATAAAACCCTACAACATCAAGGTGTACTGGTACACCTCTTAGCCACAGTTACCTAGGAAACAGACAAGAAAGAGAAGGATGAAACCATCCAGTGGACAGGAGCAGCACTGAGCCGCATCCTGTGATAGCAGCCATTCACTGCTAACATCCTTTGGTTAAGTGAAGCACACTTTCTACCAGTTATTGTTGTTGTTGTTGTTGTTGTTGTTGTGTACCATCGAGTGAGAACTGACTCATAGCTGACCCTTCTGCGGGGATTCAGAGGCAGTTAATCCCATGGGAGGAGATTGCCTATCATTCTCCTGTGGAGCAGCTGGTGGATTCAAACCACATGCATTTAGGTCAGCAGTACAGCCTCTTATCACTAGGTCTCCAGAGTTCCCTCTCTGTACTGGATGCAAGGATAAATCTGTAAAAGAATGGGCCACTCAGGCACTTGCATTTACAGATGATATAATCTATGAGAGGGTCAAGTTATTTTAAATAAGAGCTGTTCTCCCAGAAGGCAGTAGAAGCAATAGAAGGCAAGCCTGAATGAGGACGGGATTGTGTCCAGCGGTGACTGAAGCTGGCGGTGTGTCATGCTCATCCCTCTGACACTGGCGGTCTTGTGTTCATGGCCCCATTTGCTTGACCTTGACTCCGCAGGGCTCGTGCAGTCTCAAAGGACTGCTCTTGTCCTTTGAGTTTCATAGATTATACCTACTTCCGGGGATGTCTGAGATCTTCTTGAAATTAGAGGCCTTGAATGTACTAAGATCAAAAAGGTTTGCACTTTATATTCATGTGCGAGCAAACCAAGTTGCTTATTAGCATCTTTGTAAAAAGTTAACCTTAATTAACTCCAAGAGGTGGAATGACAGCAATTTTATTTTCATTTTGTCTCTATGCATTTTCCAAATGTCCTCCCACAGTCATGGACACACAACCTCCAAGGGAGCTCTGGGGGTTTTGTAAGGAATTGCACCTGCCAACTCAAAGGCCTGGGGTTCAAATCCACCAGTTGTTCTGTGGGAGGAAGATGGGCTGCCTCTGAAAGCCCACTGGAAGGTCAGCTATGGATGGGTTCTGACTCGATGGTACCCAACAACTACACAATCTCCTTCAATAATCATGGACTGCATTGTGATAAGGAGGTGGGGGAAACCCTGTTATTGTTTGTTTGTTTTGAGGATTGAGTATAAAGATTGACTGCAAAATAATCCCTTCTCCATCCTAAAGGTTCTCTTTCCCTCTCTGGCCTCACCCTTGTCACTGGGCTGTGAAGCTGCCTCCCTGCCTCCTGGGCCCTCCTTTCTCCATCCCTGCCTGTCGGGTCTCAGCTGATGCCTCTTTAGCAGTCTCCGTCCCCACCTTCCCAGGAAAGCCAGAGACCTGACCTTTCTGCCTTCCCAAGAAAGCAGTCCACGTGAGCAGCTCTTGATAAGCAGAAATCCCCTTATTACATATTAGAAAAGTGATATGAAAATAAATAAAAGCACGTTCACATTTATCAAACATCTCAGGGCTGTGGTCCCCATGAGATTCCCAGGAACCCTTCACAGATGAAGCCCACACCATGCCCTGTGAGGTAGGTTGGATTCTGCCCCCTTCCACAGAGGGAATCCAGAGAATTTTGGCACAGGGAATTGGGAGTCAAGTTCACAAGCGTCGTCTCCAGCCAGGTTTTCTCTTTAAGATGCCCACCCCGCAGCAGTGGGCAGAAACGTCCCTGTGATGGGGACTGGAATAGACAGGTCGGAACAAACGAGGCCTCCGGACGCAGCCAAAGGAAGCAGCGTGTTGTCGGAGCCTGGCTATTTCTGACTGCCCTAGTTAGGTGCTCCGCTCCCAGGGTGATTTTATAATCACAAGGTCGTTTGATGTTTTGCAATGTGACATCCATAAGGACATTACTGAAAAGAAACCCTGGCCCTTCTGTACTTTCTGTGCCTCGTGGAAAAGGTGAAGAAGTGCAGCTTTCTTAAAAGAGCCTCTTTCCATGGTTCTCTTGATGTTACTGGTGTCCTTTGCTTCCACAAAGGTTACATTTGCAACTTAGGGCAGAGAATTGGTTGGAAGACTGTTTCAACATTTTCCATCAGTACAAGGTCATACCGGCACAACTGGGGCCTGAGAAAAGAAGACAGAACAGCCTTGTGAGGGGTCAAAACAAAGCTGCCACATTCTAACAAGATGTATCTTATCCTTAGGAAAGAAAACGATCTAGCAATTATTTCAACAACATAGGAAAATGCTTATGATATAAGCAAAACAACAAAGCAGAGTGAAACATTTTATTACCCACATAACTCCACTTTGTGGGAAAAATTAGAAGTACCCCAAAATAAGTGTTCATCTCTGAATATTGACTTTATGGATGACAGTTTTCTGCTTCTAAAGACATTTTATACATTGAAGATTTTCTAAAATTGCATGCATTCTTTCTTTATTCGGGGGGGAGGGTTAAAAGCCCCACTATTTTGTGATGTAATGATCATTCTTTTAAGAGGAAGATATTGTTAAGTTGTTAAGGTATTCTGAACCAAAAAGAAAGAATTCAAAAATATTGATAGCTCACATCCATCCTGTTCCTATGCATAGACTGAGTGCTAAGACTTTAGTGTAGAGTAGTATCACAAGGCCGACATGCAAACACACCTCTGCAAAATGTCATCCCTCCCTCTCCTTCCTTCATTCTCACGCTCTCTCAGGCTCTCTTCACACACACACACACACACACACACACACACACACACACACAGACTGTGAGAGAGGCAGAGAGAGTTATTAATTGAGTCATTTGAGAATAGTGTTTCCCATTTAAAGGGAGTTTTGGTGGGAACTTAGGGTCCATAGGAAGTTGGCCTGTTAATCAAAAGGCTGCATCCATCTGGCAGTTCGAATCCACCAGCAGGTCCTTTGGAGGAAGATAGGCAAGTTCCCCTGGTGCCATTTACAGCCTCTGATACCTAATGGAACGTCAGCTATGAGTAAGTTCCAATTTGAAGGCAGTGAGTTTAAGTTGTTTAGTTGCCACTTAATTCTTCATTGTGTTTCCTAAGAACAAGGATTTCCTCAGTAGAATTATCAAATTTAAGGAGCTCTGGTACACAGCGTTTTGTGCTGCTGACCTAGAGAGGGGCAATTCAAATCCACCAGCTTCTCTGGGGGAGAAAGATGGGAAGCTGCATCTTGCTAAGTAAGGTTTACAGCCTCAGAAACCTGGTGGAGGGTCACGATGAATCAGAATAGACTCAATGGCAGTAGATTTTTGGGTAACATTGATACAGTACTTTTATATGACATAATACATTATATCTGTGGATTCAAATATTCTAATTTTATGTACTCTTTTAATATTAGCCTTTGTTCAATCAAATTAAATAAGGCTTTCTTTTCCAAAGGAAAATAAAATTCCACTTGTACCATAATAGGTAGTTAGAGAGGGAGCATATAACAACTTTATTTTCTCAGCTTACTGGACCATTTATCTTTAAGTATATATTGGTATAACTATCTTTTCATATGCTGGACTGGAAGTTCTTATCAAAACCATTTTTTTTTTAATCCTTCACTTCCTCATTGTAAGTGGTGTAAGTATCTTATTAAAACATCACACCAAGCATACCCAACAAAACGCAACAATCCCTTTAGAAAAAAGGGCTTGTCCAACCCTGCCTACTGCTCACCTCTCTGGATAGACCAGTGACCTTAACTTCATCCGGAGGATCCTGAGCTTGTACTTGGGGCCGATAACAGTTCCTGTAGAAAATACTAGGGAAATAGTTGCCACGTTATCCAGATCTTGATTAAATCTCGCAAGCAGGCTGACTTGGTGGTATTTCTGAAAGGTTGCCGGTTCACTGGAAGGAAGAAAGGATACTTAGAACATACATAGATAATGAGAGAAAGCAGTCATGCAGCTGGTAAATCACTGGTAGGCAGGTCACCAGGGAAACTCTGGGTGGTACATATGATTAATGCTCTTGGCTACAAGCCAGAAGGCTGGAGGTTTGCGTTCACTGAAAGATGCCTTGGTTTTGATTTTCTTT